TACCTCTTCGCCAGCCTCTTTGCCGGGATCCATATGTGTTAATCGACATACATTATGTCTAATTCTTCATTATTTGATAATATAATTCTTTTCAATGTTGCATGCATGCTCTCTCTCTCTCTCCTCTCTCTCTCTCTCTCTCTCTCTCTCTCTCTCTCTCTCTCTCTCTCTCCAAATTTAACCTACTTTGCTTAATTAAATTCCTTCTTAGTTGAAATAAACAATCCAATGGGACTTTTATACAACCGAATCAATATATCATTCTTTTACAGTATCGATTTCTTCAGGGAGGGCGTTTAATAAACGTGTAATCACAGTGGGAGGGCCTTAACTTCAGTCTAAGTCTAAGACAATTGAAGAAGCCCGGTGTTGTTTGGTTGGCAAATCTGTTTGCGCACCCACCCCCACTTCCCCTCCCCCTTTCAGCCTTCCCCCCTCACCCTTTTAATTACTTCCCTACCCACACACACCCCTCTTTCTGGCACATAATAGTCGTCCCAGCTGGGGTTCACTTCAAGACTTGGGTGTTGTTTGATTGGCAGATCCATTTGCCGTATATCCCCCTCCCCCTCCATCCCCTCATTAAAAAAAAATATTACGCCCCACCCCCTCACCCCTGCCTGCCCTTTGAGCAAGCACATGGCTGTCGGCCCACCCGTGTCTTATACCGCAGTTGGACCGCTATTGTTTCAGAGACTTTAGGGGGCCGGCGTTGCTCAGCGGTGTCTAACGGTTACAATAACTTGTGCACACGGTATGCCACCAGGTTTTGACGAGCTTGCAGGAGGTATACAAGATAACGAGCAATAATTATTTTGTTTAATGGTGGGCGCCAAGGATCACGTCACGGTCTAATGAAGCAAAAAAATGCTTTAGTCGAGCCTGATTCGTCACTGACGCTCAGCTGGGAAGTAAAATTAAATACCTAGCTAGAAATGTAGGATCAGGCATAAAAGGGCTGGATTATGTGTTGTTTCAACACTTAACAACAGCAATGGAAACTGAGGCGGTTTATTAATTTAAGAAAGATAGTGGAAATTGATATAATATTCTTCCAAGGGACAATTTGTGCAGTCCTAACATGGCGTGACTCTTTGGGGAAAGATAGTGCTGTCAAGTTTGAACTGAAGAAAAATAGATCCTCATCATGCTGAAGTGCCAAATCCGAAACAGACATCGGCGGTAATGGTTAGCCATTCGTATTTTTCTAGGATGTTCTTTGGAAACAAATGGTTTACTAGTCCTTCCCCGTCACCCATTTGTTCAGGTTCTCTAAGTACGATTAAGTTTGCCTCCGTCTGCCTAGTTTACCTTCTATTTCTCCGGTGAGAACAAAATAAGATTATTTTTTTTTAAGAGAAAAGGGTTTGGGGGTCGTGGGCAATTGTTTTGCCTTCTTTATGTATGAGTTTGTAAACTATACGACCCATTGATGACTTTGGAAAGCAAACACGAAGACAGAAAGACTAAAATAATAACAGTTTAACAAATCGCTACCCAAGATTTATAACATTCTATCTGCTCAGTGCCTAGTTTGGAGAAATTTGAAGTATAAAATTTTGAGTTTTTAAAAAATAAAATGTCTAGCTTTTTCGTTTGCAATTCTTTGAATGTCTTAATAATGACTCCAAATAATGTTATACGACTTTGTGAGAGCAGATAGAACATTTGGCTTCTGATCTCATGGTCTATATTAAGTTAAAATGGCCAAGAAATGTCAA